AAAAATCCATACACTCTTTATTAAGCTTATTGACAATCTTGTCAGGACACTTAAAGTAAGACATAACATGATTAGGCATACCCGTTAGATTAGAATTAATTAAAGTAAGCCTTTCCGCTCTTGAAAGAGTGTTTGCTTTCCAACCAGCTAATTTTTGCTTAACACTTTTAAGCAACTCATTACCATTAACTTGGTCTTTCCATAAAACAATATTATGAATTCCTAGATACTTACCAATGGTAGTTTTATGTTGAATATGTAAAATATTAACAATATCAATTCTAGTTGGAGAAGTGGTATTCTTGGAAAAATACAAGGATGACTTATGAAAGTTTATTTGTTGGCCCGCCGCTTTAGAAAACATATCAAGGATTTGAAGAATATTCCTCGCACTCCTCGCCGTGGCCTTAGCAAACAGGAGACAGTCATCAACAAACACTAGATTTGAGATTTTAAATCCTCTAGGTGAGGACAAAATACCAATATGAGACTTCGGATTATTTGTTAGGCTATTGAGGTGTCTAATTAACAGTTCCATACAAATGATGAAAATATAAGGGGACAAAGGGTCCCCTTGTCTAATTCCCCGCTTTGGATAAAAATAACCATGAGGTCGCACATTTATAAGCACAGAGAAGGAAGGAGAAGTAATACATTCCAAACTAATTCAACCCAACGATTATCAAAACCAAATCTAAGAAGAACATACTGAATGTAATCCCAGTTTAAGTAATCATATGCCTTTTCCAAATCCAGCTTGACACCTATAGCTCCAGTTCTTCCTTTCATCCTATTGAGACCAGCAAACATTTCGTGAGCATTAAGAATATTATCCTGAATGGCTCTACCTGGAGCAAAAGCACCTTGATTTTGAAAGATGCAAAGATCTAAAAGAGGTTTTAGTCTCTTAATGATGATCTTTGTGATAATTTTATAACTAGCATTACACAAACTAATAGGCCTATAGTTACAAACAGTTTCCACATTATCTATTTTAGGAACTAAAGCGATGTTAGTATGATTTATAAGTCTTAAGCTGGAACCATTTTCGAAAAAATCTTTGACCAAACAAGAAACAGAGTCCTTAATTTGGTCCCAATAACCATGAAAAAAGGCCGCACTTAAACCATCAGGACCCGGGGCTTTAAGAGCTCCAAGACTACACACAGTATCCCAAATTTCCTCATCTATAACAACCGACAACAAACTTTCATTATGATGATTACAAACACAAGGTTGAATGATATCCGTTAAACTACTTAGGTCAGCCCACGAGGGAAGACTGTCACGGGAAAAGCACTTTTTAAAATTGTGCACAAAAACTTGTTCAAGGCCCTGACCAACAGACCACCAAAAACCATTCTCATCTTTGACTTTAGTAATTTCATTCCTTTGTTTACGAATAGTAGCTACAGTTTGGAAGAATTTAGTATTCTTATCCCCAAGTTGCAGCCAATTAGTTTTAGCTCTCTGGGCCCACATAATTTCTTCACAAAGTGATACATGATTCAATTCATCTCGAAGAGATTTTTCCATCATCAAATCAACAGAGTTGTTACTCATAATTTGCTTTTGAAGCTCATCAATTTCATTTAACAATTCTTTCTTTTTCTCCTTTAAATTGCCAAAAGTGTCCTTGTTTCATTTACAAACTAGAAATTTAAACTTACTAGCTCACACTCTGAATTTATCTTTAGGATTAATAGGAGGGTCACAATGCCAAGAATTTTGCACAAACGTTTTAAAATAAGGATGATTAAGCCACATAGCCTCAAATTTAAACGAGAAGGAGTTATTCTTCTCCTCACTAGAATTTAGAGATAATAAAATAGGACTATGATCAGAACCAAAAATAGGATGGTTATGCAAATGATAATTAGGTAACATATTTAACCATAAAGGGTCAGCCACCACCCTATCCAATCTCTTGAAAACAACTGTATGATTCGTATATGTTCAAGTAAAAGGAACTCCAGACGCATTTAAAGACAAAAGGTTGCCATGATTAAGAAAATTGATAAAATTGTTCACGTCTATGGTATGGGTTTGATTACCTCAAACCTTCTTTGAAAGCTCAACAATATTGTTAAAATCTCCAACTAAGCATCAAGGACTATGAATTGGATCTAACTTGAGGACCTCCTCCCACAGGTCACACTGTAAATGTTTTTGGGGAAAGGCATAAATGAAAGTAACTAATTGCTCTAAATTAGTAACTAAGTCCTTTACAGAACAATGGATATATCTCGGAGAGGAAGAAATTATACTAACAAAAACCTTAGTACTATTCCAACATAAACAGAAGCCCCCAAATCGGCCAATTGGATCACAGCGAAAAATATTGTCGAAATACTTGGAATAAAAGTTCCTGGGGACCTTATGAACAACCACCTTAATCTCCATAAAAAAGGTCCAATTTCGCTAAACTAAATATAAAATTAAAATTACTAGGAAATTCCTTCCTCCTAATACCCCTACAATTCCACGCAAGACACTTCATCAATCTAATTCTTCAAGATAACTAAACTCTTCCTTAATTGCAATTTCCTCTCATATTCTCTTTCTCGGACTCAGCATCCTAACAGTGGCACGAGGGTCACCACCACTAAGCCCAGCTTTAACAGTATCCTCCTCACAAACTCTTTTCTTTGGACTCATCATTCTTGTTTTGGGCCTTGCACTCACAAAGCCAACCTCTGCTTTATGAAAAGCAGAAACCAAGTTTCTAGTGTTCTCCCTAGTTTCAGCCTCCTCACTATTCACATTTGACATATCTACAACCAGGTATAAAGCAAGATCATTCATAACATCAACGAAATCAAAATTAACACTTTTATAATCACAAACAAGATTATTGTCACATGGCATGATAAAGAACTCATCATCACCAAACATAGAGTCAATATAATTAATACTAGAGATAACTATCCATCTACCCTCGTTTTGTCTAAAGATAAAAAGATTAGAGATAGAATATATAATCCCAGATGAGCTACAATTCACAGAGCTTACCCCCTGGTCATGTACCAGAATCCCCACCATTACCTTAAGCATCCAATGAAAATTGAATCTTATTTTCACAATGTCAGGTTCCTGCATCAAACCTTCATCTTCGCTCCCAACGATCTTCACTACTTCAGCGCCCTGCATCTTTACTTGTTCCCCAGATAGCTCGCATATCACATGAACTCTCACATAGGCTTCTATCTCATGTTCCCCAAATTTATTGAACATCAGATAAGCTACAAACCCCATATATTTGCAAGGGATTGAGCAATTAAGATCTAGAAATCCGTAACCACGGCTTTGTGAGGCACCATTTAATTGAATCACAGCCAACCCGAATTCTTCATTGGCACCCAAATCGTTGCGTGCCCAAAATCCCAGTTTTAAACTGGTAGTAAGAAACACATGGGAGCTCTTCAACCTCCTGTAATTCGTTACAACCCTAATGATTTGCCTCTGGGCTCCACTCCCCAAGACCCACCATTGATAATTAGCTAGAGGAAAAATCCTAACTACAACCCAGTTAGACACGAAGCTGCAATTTGGATTGTAAATTGCATGAATACCTTCAGCCCACCCACACTTATCATTGAACAAAGCATTTACGGTAGAGTCATTAGCTAAATTGCAAAACTGAACTAAATACCAGCAATTATCTGTTCTCCAATTAACTTTCAACCCATTAATTAGCCTATCTACTTTAACTAAAATGCAAATTAGAGCAAGAAACAGGGGCCAGAGCCGAATTCGTACCAGGATACTCCACCCTATGCGCCGTCTGCGCCTCCACATTTCTATATCATTTTAGGTAGCATCTGATATGGACAACCATCTCATTTGAATTAATTAGATTTTTAAATTTAGTTTATTATTTAATAAACTAATAATTAAGAAAATAAACTAGTTAATTAAATGATGATTGTGATATACAATGAGTCTTTCGCCTGCATTTTCTTGGGTTTTGCAAATTTTTCAAATGATATAGCTGTCCACATCAGATGTCACCTAAGGTGATATGGAAATGTGGTATAAAAACATGGTATGAATAACATTACTCTATTGCATATTTGTCATTCTTGCCAAAATGTAAGAGTAAATTCAATACACTATATGAAATAATTATTGATATGTATATGATGTACAGAATCTGTATTATGTCATGTGAAAGCGTATAGCATCTTGGTTCACTAATTAGGGTTTAACTTTATATACTAGTGCTCGCTTTAGTAACCAAAAAATAGTATATGATCATTTTAAAAACATTTCAAGTAGGATACCAAACACAGAGCTAATGAGCCATTAATTAAATTACGTGTTGCTAAAAGTCACTTACTTTTATGTTCCTTAAATTAGCAAAACCATTATGTACTTTACTTGTATTATAAGTAACCGACTATTTGAAAAAAATTCTCTTTCCAATGAACCTAAAAAGCCCTTATGAGTATTGATCATCTTATCATTGGATTCAATACACTCGAAGTGAGCCATTAGATTACGTGTTACTCATTGGTTGCTCACTTTGACGTCCATCAAGTGAGCCAAACTACAAAATCGTGTGCTAATAAAATACTAGTTATATATGGGGGAGGTACATTACACAACATTAACCAACTTACATTGTGTATGTCTAGTAGTACACAAGTAATTTTCCAGTGTACTTAAAATATGATTATGTGACGTTATTATTTTGTTCAAATTATAATATATAAACTTAAATTTTATTAATATATTATAGAAGTGCAACATATCAATCTTATGGTTTCCTCTCATCATGTTCATGATAGACTACGTGCTTGCACCCATAAAAATTTCTTGAAGCACACAATTATTTCTTCTCTTTTTTGCTCATTTTTTCTTTTGTTTGTTTTTTCGGCAAAAGCAAAAGAAAAGAAAGATAAAAAGTAATGAAAAAGATGTTGGTGGGGACGTAGCGACGTTAACAGTTTACCGTGGCTCTCTGAGGAAAGTATTTATATTTTACGGTGGGGGCGTATGGGTTCTTGCAGAGTTTTGCTTAAAAATCATCTGAGGAATTTTGTGACAAATGATTCCCACAAATTTGGGTCTCCCCAAATGATCTTTGGGAATGTTGAACTACCAGGGCCCTCCCCAACCCAACCCAGAAAACCCTATTCACCATCTTCCTCCATTAATTCCCACATTAATTTGTTCGGTCGGATTGAATGACTCAGAGCTCTGAAGTTTCAAGCTACCTTCTGTTTGGTGAGAGAGAAAGATAGTTTATTTTCATGGCTTCCACTTTTGCTGGAGTAGGCATGTTACAAGAGGTAATTAAAGTCATTTTTTTTTCCTTGCAAGTACATATATTACTATAATATTACTGCAGAGATTATCACTTCCCTCCCTAACTTTTTACTGATCGTTATCCACTTCGTCTATTCACCATGCAAATCCTTTCCTTTTTAAGAAGGTTCCCAAAAATTCAACTCTCTGATGCTGTAGTTAGAACTATCTCAAGTTCTAATTTGTTTGAATATTACTTGTTACCTTGTGTTTTCAATTTTTGAATGTTCGGGCCATTTTCTAGCACGTTTGTCTGTTCGGTGTCTCATCCGTTCTTTTTTTGATTAAAAGTTTGTAACGGATTCTATCTCCACATATTTACGGGACATATTTATTGGTCTTATTCATGAAGCTGTGAGTTTGCATCAGTGATTATGAAATCTATTCGTTTACTTGTTTGTTTGTTGAATTTGTTGCTAGAGTATGAGCTATCCATCAACTCAGTTTGCCACGTCAAGACAAATGGGGATATACGAGCCGTTCCGCCAGGTTGATGTGTGGAAAGAAACCTTGAGAGGCTCTAACACAGCTGCTTCCTCAATTATAGAAGTGGATTCTGGGATCGAAACCAAGGTGAAGAACATAAATGAATCTCTTGGTCCCTTTTTCTTCAATGTTAGTTCAATTTATTTCTTCTAATTGAGCTTCAATTAATTTTTTGATTTTCTTCCTCTAGTTTGGATTTGTTTCTCATGAATCCATGATGCCTTCTGGAAATGATCATGAACCAAACAGATCGGCTGATAAGGTGATATAGCTATGCTCTCCCCCACTGTCCTTGTTTCTTAATTAGCAAGGCAACATATCTGTGTCATTTTTGTTATTCATTCATATATCTTATAAATAAAAAAGAAGACCATACTGTCATCAATGCAATTTTGGTTTTTTTTGTTATCATTGTCATGTAAATTGATTCTGAAGTGCACATATTCACAGGTACGGAGACGGTTAGAACAAAATCGTGAAGCTGCACGTAAGAGTCGTATGCGAAAAAAAGTGAATATCAATCACATACAAGTCCTTATTTATTGGTGCATTTCTTGCTACATCCTATGAAGTTATTTGAATGATTTGATCTTGTACTACCACAGGCTTATGTTCAACAACTCGAAACAAGCCGTTTAAAACTAGCACAGCTGGAGCAGGAACTTGACAGAGCTAGAAAACAGGTGAGTTGAAAATCACCATTCTTCATCTTTGTTCATGTTACCAGATACATTTGTTTCCATATTAGTCAGAATCAAATTGGTATTCATCGGATGAACCCGTGACTGCCTGATTTGCAGGGTGCCTATGCAGGCAATGCATTAGGTACTAGTCATATGGGATACAACGGAGCTTTGAATTCAGGTTTGTGATTCTGAGCTCCTTAAATTGTTGAAAAAATGTTTCCCTCAATGACCTAACGATGTATTTGTTTTCGAGAAATTTTTAAGTGTGTTTCGTAGATTATTGTGTTTATAGTGCCATTTTGTTAATCGAGTTGTGGATCTTGCAGGGATCACTACATTTGAGATGGAATATGGACACTGGGTTGAAGAACAATACAGACAGAATGTTGAACTCAGAAATGCACTGCAAGATCATGTAACGGACATAGAACTGCAGAAACTCGTAAAGGGTGCCTTGAACCACTACGCCAATCTTTTCCGAATGAAGGCAGATGCAGCAAGGGCTGATGTCTTCTACTTACTGTCTGGCATATGGCGAACATCAGTTGAACGCCATTTTCATTGGATCGGAGGATTTCGCCCCTCAGAGCTGCTAAACGTAATGCTTAACTTAGTTCACATCATTTCTGATGAGTTATAGTGCAATATTTTTTTCATTTAAGTGCATAACATGCTGCTTATTGTTTCGTTTATTCAGATTGTGTTGCCGCAGCTTCAGCCAATGACTGATCAACAACTTTTGGATTTCTGTAACCTGCGGCAATCGTCTCAGCAAGCGGAGGATGCTCTCTCGCAGGGAATGGACAAACTGCAGCAGGCATTGGCACTCAGCATAGCAGCTGATCAAATGAGTGGAGAAAGCTTCGGATCTCAGATGGCTTCTGCACTTGAGAAGTTGGAAGCACTAGAGAGCTTTGTCAGCCAGGTGATGCATCAGATTCCAATCATAATTTTTTACAATTAGACTCATAATTGAAGGGTATTTAATAAAATTGGATAGATCCAATACTAATTGTATTTCTTGATTATTCTCCAAAGGGTCTAAGAAATTGGGTAATATGTAAAAATATAAGGGTTACTAGCTATTAATCGAAAATAGAACTGAGTAGCACTAAACAAACAATAAGCCGTACATAAACAAATGTTTAGTGCCCCTTGAGTGTCTGTTTCAGTTCTAATTTTGATAAATAAATTAAAAAATTAAAATTAAAAAAAAAAAACAAACTGTAACTCGAATTGGTTCCATTTGTAATAAGCAATAATGCAAGAAATTCCTTGTGACAATTCACTCCTTGACAGTTTGATGAGGTATATTGTATGTTTCTCTTGTCCATGGCAGGTAGATCACCTTCGGCAGCAAACACTGCAGCAAATGTCTCGAATCCTCACAACATACCAAGCAGCGCGAGCCTTGCTTGCAATGGGGGAGTACTTTCACCGGTTACGTGCCCTCAGTTCTCTCTGGACTGCTCGTCCCAGTGAACCAACATAGTCATCTGCAATGTATTCTCCGTAGTTACATGTATTCTTTTTCCATTATATTATGAACTTATATCTCCCTGTTTCAGCAGGTGTAAATATGTAGAAGCTTAATGATGAGGGTTACCAATTCAAAACATATAGGTTTCAAGTTATGTCCAATGCATGTAGCATATACTAGTGTCTCAAGGGTAGGAATCATTTGCTCGCTAAAACGCTTTTCTGTTGTTGGGTGCAGCATTAAGGTTTTTCGAGTTATTTGATTGTAGCCAGAATTGATGTATTATTTGGAATTATTTATGTATATGCAAGATTACGAGGAAAACTTAGCTGAAACCTCCAGGCAACAATTTTCTCTTTCGCACGAGAAGAGAAACAAACACAACTAGTGCATACAGCCTGAATGCGTAGTCATGATCAAAAGTTTATAATATCATCATGAAAAGTTGAACTCGACTGTACTAATTGAACTGAAAAACCAAGTACCTACCATACCAAATTAAACCGGACCATACCATTGATGCGAAAATTATCTTAACACACAAATTAACCCCTCTTGTTGTCAATTGTAGTAAATAATGTAAGTAGAGATCGTTCTAGGCTAGGGATTATGAGGGATTACTAAAACACTTGAAACTGACTTAAAAACGTAAATTTAAGTTTAAAACACCAAATTAGACTCAAAAGATGCAATACAAACTAAAAAGACTCAAAACAGCTTAAAACAATGAATTTGACTTTAAACTGACTCTAGGGATGGTTTTGGACGAAATTAGGTTCTAACTTGACTCAAGACACTTAAAAACACAAATCAAAATAGATTTTGACTAATAAAACACTTTAAAGTAAAGGGGGATTTGATTTTGACAAATTTGAAAACAAAACAAACAGATTGTAAACTAAAACAGATTTTGGACGAATTTGGGTAAACTATGGATGATGGGCTAGCTAGAGGGTTCTTCTCCACACATGACATACTTGCACATAAACCAATTTTCAGTTGTTCTTTCGATCAATCATGAAACTCAACACCCCAGGTTAATTAAGTCCGCTTAAATTAACCTTCAAGTTCTCCTTAAGTTATTGAATTGGATGGGAAAGCGCATACAACAATTCAAGCATTCTTTAAAAGTCCTTTACGTGAACAGCACAATAAAGATACAATCAAAGATCATTAAGCATTATGAAAACTATAAGTATTGACGAGGCATTCGTTACTATGATGAGCATGAAACTTCTGCTAAGAATTCATTTAACGCGATCGTTTATAAGCAACCTCCACTACTTGTGAATATAAGTTTGTAACTATTAGGTGAAACTTCCTTATACTCTAGCATCATATTCATGCATGCAAACTAAGTGTGCACTCTTAATAAACATACATGAATAAGTTATCAATCAAGCAGTTAAACAAATTGAATTCACAACTTATGAAATCATAACTTAAGGTAATCAAATCATATTGCAAGCATGAACATGGTTTCGAATTCCCCCCTAGCTAAGGGGGGTTTAGCTCCTCATACTCATAAAGTAAAGATAAACAAATTTAGATATTGAAAACAAAGAATGAAAACACCTAAAAACGCTCCAACAATCCAACTTGAATGGCAAGCACGTCCAAGGGTCCTCATTTTTCTCTTTGTTGAGGCACAAGGTGTGGTTTTATGGATGAGTGGTAAATTATGGCGGTGGATGGATATAGGTGAGTTATGGTGAAGGGTGGATGGGTGGATAGTGTTCTCTCGGCCAAGGAATGAAAGTGTAAGTGTATGGAGTTGTGAGATGTGAATGTAGTGTCTTTTGATGGATCTTTTTCCCCCCTTTTTGTTATGGAGAAGGGTGGATGTATTTATAGGCTAGGGAGAGGACCACCATCTAATTAAGGTGGTAGTGGTGTATGTTGTGGTAATGAGTGGATGTAATGGGTGTAGTGAGTGAGTGTTATGGTAATGAGTGGATGTAATGGGTGTAGTGGATGAGTGTTTGGTAATGAGTGGATGTAATGGGTGTAGTGGATGGATGTTTGGTAATGAGTGGGTTGTGGTAATGAGTGGATGTAATGGGTGTAGTGGATGAGTGTGAGTGTTTAGTAATCAGTGGATGTAATGGGTGTAGTGGATGGATGTTTGGTAATGAGTGGATCAACACACTTGCACACAAACATGTTAATTTCTAGCCTTCAAATCTTCAAAAATGTCCATCCTCATGTCTCCATGCTTGCATTATCCAATTTTGGCCCAAAAATGCTCCAAATAGCACTTTGTTGCTAACTTTGTTATTTGAATCTACAAACACACGAAAATAGCTTAAAGTACTAAAATAACTAGAATTAAACTAAGTAAATGCCAAGAAACAAGCTAACTAAGTTGTATAAATATGCTCCTATCAACCATACTAGTGGTTCTATTGCGTCATCTAGTGGTGGAAAGACTACTATGATAAACTCATTCCTAGAGTCTTGTGACATGTATTCATGCAGCTATCGAATGACTAATATTCAAGTATGATCTTGTAGTTTTCCAGTGGAGTGACATCCATGGACACTTTCTGGATAAGTCTTCCATATCCTTTTGCGACAAATAATTGTTGCTCTTGCCTCTTGACAATCAATATTGCAAATTTGATAAGCTACGTTGACACGCCCCTATCCTCATATCTCCAAATACCAAGATGGGCACGTGTTGACCAACACCCGAGGGTGACAAAGCCATATTAACCTGTATGCAAGTGATATCGGTAAACGAAGGTAAATAAAACATGTGTATATAAAGAAATAAACAAATGCGGAAACGTGTACAGAGTATACAACTAATCAAGAATACTGTGAAAGAATTAATTTAAAATGGTACGAACAAAGGAATGGGTCCTACACTGAGAAGACTCGAAGATGCCTATGCGGAAATGTCCTGACGCCAAGATCATATGCTTCGATTCTAAATCCTGAAAAGGGCGCAAAACAAAAAGGTAAGTGGACCAAAGTTTATAATAATAATAACAATAAGAAAACCGTTTTTTTTTTCTGAACATGCTAACCCTCTGTTTTGAAAACACATATAATACTACATAATAGGATTTTCTAAAAACTCTACATGCTATAAAACATCCGTACGATAAAATCATCTCTAAAAGTGATAACGAAGCGCCCAAAGGCAGAATCTCATAAATCAAATCAATGATGTACTCAACTAGGGGTATCATAGTCGCCCGAATGCATAACCATCACCCGAAGGTGAAGTTGTACGATGGTGGGTTACGCCAGTGAAAAAATAGGGTAGGTCCCATCACCCGAAGGTAAAGCTATATGATTCTGGGTTACGCCATAGAACAAATATAACATAACACACCAACACTAGCCATGGCTAGTGAAGCTGTCCAACACTGATTTTCACCAATGAAGCTGAGAGTATGTAATAATATCTCACTGCTCCTCGATTACGTCCTATGGCCATAGACATATACATACTCAGGTTGTATGTATGTATTGTACAATCACCCACTAGATAAGCACCAAAAACATAAATTATAATCTTTCCAAATCATTGGAGCTCAAAGCATCAATTCGTAAACCATAATAAATCATATTCGTAAATCCATAATATTTCGTACTCGTAAATCCAATAATTCATAATGTTTCATAAAACATAATTCCATAAATCATAAATAATGCATAAAATGTAAAATCATGAAATCATAATTTTCGTGAATGCATAAATAATGCATAAAATGTAAAATCATGAAATCATACTTTTCGTGAATGCAAGCCTAGCATTTAATGAAAATCATGTAATTTAAGAAGGGGTCCACTCACAGATACTCTGTCGCCGAAGAGTTGTGCAAACTAGAGAGGACGGGATCGCCACTAACAAACACACCTAAGCACATAAAGGGAACAATTAGTAAAACCCTACTAAAACAATTAAATTTGGGAATACAGACGTCAAATTCAAATTCGGGACGTCGAAAAACCTAAGGAGGGACCTTGGGTTCCCTCATGCGCCGTCACAAAGCGGCGGCCTGGGGCCACGCGCCATCGCACTCGTCGAGTTGAGTCATCGGAAAGTTGACCGGAAAAGTTGTGGGGGCACTGCAACACCACACGCTCGCGAGTACGGTGTACTCGCCTTGCTTTTTGGAAATTTTCCAAATTTTCATCCAACTTCTCGAGCCATTTTCGAGCTCGATACAATGCCAAATTGAGTAATTCTGGATTCTCTATAGAGTTAGAAATATAGGGAAGAGATATATACCTTTTTGAAACTCGACGGAGGTTGGAGCTAGCAAGAAAAGTGATTGTAAAGTGGTCAAACGACCACAATTTAGGTTTTCCAGAAATTGCACAGTGACTCCCATCAGCTTTTCCTTGCGTCCATATGTGGTTAACACCTAAAACTAACCTAATCTAACAATAAAACATGATCTAAAAGGTTCTAGAGGGTTTACCTTGGCAAGAGGCGGCGAGAACTCGCCGGAGAAGGATTGCACAATGACTGTACACAGTGCAGGGAAAGAGAAAAACTTAGCGGAGGGGTTCTTCCATCGATCCTGGGTTCATGGGGATGGAGATGACGCTTTCGTTGTTGTTGTTTGGTGTTTGTTTGAGTTGTGCCCTCGGACAAGGTTGTTCATAGAGAGGGGGAGAGATGAGAAAGAGAGATGAGGAGAGGGTTCGAGAGTGGACAGGAAGAAGAGAGAAAGTTCACTCATGAGGAAGAGAAAAAGAGAGGGAAAGAATAAGAGAGAGTGTGGGCCAGGAGACAAAACAACAAGGGTGGGCCCTTCTGGCACACCAAACAAAGCAAAAAAAGACGAAACGGGAAAATATCTCATGGGACGTAAAATTACCAAAATGCCTATATTGTTTTGTATTCTGTAAAATCTTCGTTTTAACTTCAAATTCAATTCCGCTTGCACCCACGCGTTCGTAGCGATAAATACTATAAGGAGACGCTAACAGATTGGGTTATACATCTCACGATACAAAGATCAATAAAAGTCAATGATTTTGCCTCTAAGGGTATTTTTGTAAATTCACGTTTTTAAATTGTAAAAAAAACATAATATTTGGGGATAGGTCATTACATTCGTACTTACTATGTTCATGTCTTGATGCAGCGCTACTCGAACAAAGAAAATGGACAATAAAGAACCATGAATTACCAAGCTCTGTTTAGTCGGAACAAGGCAAAATAAACACTAAAAAAATCTGTTGAGTTCTGAGAATTCCTAGATTAAAAGTAATAAAAGAGTACACTTTGTTTTTTGAATTTGATTTCCGACAAAAACTACATTTCACATCCAATGATAGAACTAGTTAAGGATACTAGGAGCAAATGTTATATAGAAGTCAACAGGCCTTACTTATTAAGAACATTAAAACATAACCCATACAGCTCCAAGTACAAGCGATCCACCAGTCCATGTAGGCAAGTGTCATCCTATTTGAAACACGTTTTCATTAAAAAAAAAATTGGGCATAAGTAATATTTTCTTGATGATTATATCGACCGATCCACTGATCCATATAGGCAAGTGTCATCCTATATGAAGCATACCTCCGTTATAAAAATTTGGGAACGAGTGATCTTTATAGTTAACATGTTTGTCTTCATGAAAGCTATATGGTGAATCTATTGACTATCATTGACTAAATGCCAACTCAGCAGAGTTGGTTGTAATATGGTGCTGCAACAGTGGCCAACTCAACATAATTAGTTTGGTATTGCTGTGCTTTGAAAAAGAACTACTTCTGCTGACTGCTGTGCTGTGAGAATAAGCAAATGTGAAATAAAACAGCAGAGTGTTTGGTAAACTTTTTTGTAAAAGTGCTTTTGGAAAAAAAGCAGTATTGTAGTATTTGGTAAACTTTTATGTAAAACAGTTGTGACTCTGTGAAATGACAAAAAATGATATAATACTAGATGTGCTATTAATTTAATTTTCTTAACATATAAAGGTGAATTCCTAAATATACTTTATTTTTAAAAGAAAAATATTTATAAACTTTATCTTAAATATTAATTAGTATGACAAACTACTTCAATTGAAATATTTTAGACTGAATATCTAGGATTCATTAGTACAATATTGTTAATGTACTTGAAAGTAGTCTAATTAGATGCATTCATCAATTATATTTGTAAAATAAAACAGTAACGTGTTTGATAATTTATTTGTAAAGGTGCTTTTATCAAAAAATGCAGTGTTATAGTATTTGATAAATTTTTATATAAAAATTGTGTAAAATGACATTTATAATAGTTACTCTTTACCTTTTTTTATCATGATATTATGATATTTATATTTTTTTTATTCTATTATTTTCTCGCAGGGATCATTTCTTCTACGTTATCCTTATTTTTTTTGGTGGAACCTCTGTACTTCTCTCTTCCACCGCTCACTCCCTTTCTCCCCCTTCTCTCTCTAACTCTCTCTGCCAGATCCTAAGGAAGGCTGGGTTGCATCAACCGATTCGCAGAGGAAGGATGGACTCCGATTTCGGGACAGACCATCGGTGTTGGTAGCGAAGGCGTCGAGGTCATCCAGTTGAGATTTTTGGTGTCAGGCAGAAGGGTGCAAATCTAGCATTCTTTGTGCAACCCAAATTTTGACGAAGCCAGAAATCCGACGAAGAGGCCCCGAAATTCGACAAAGCCTAGAAATTCGACGAACGTCCCGCCGCTGCTGTCCTAGAAATCCAAACAAGCTCAAAAATTCAACGATGGAGAGCACGGCCGGAGGAAAGAGGAAGAGAGGGCAGGATTGCCAATTTTGAAAAGTTCATTTAATGTTACTATGAAAAACGGTTTTTCAAAGCTAGGATTTGCAGCTTCCTGTTTTTTGCTTTTTTTCATCTAAAACTGTGAAAAAAAAAACTGAATTTGAATGTTTACTAAACACAAAAAAAGCTGCTTTTTTTTTATACCTGTTTTTTTATAAGTTAAGTAGTACCAAACTGGTACGTAATGTGGTGCTACAATTGGTTTAGGCAGTTAGGATAGCTATTAGCTTGTAAACTAAGGCATTGCAGCTATATAAGCTGGCATTCTTTGTAATTCTCTCAAGTCTTATACATTGAATACAAACAAAATACTTTTGTAAGCTTTCTCTCTATTTCGCTCCATCATCCTCTAGTTCTTAAACTTTCTGCAACTGTTATAGTTCATTTGTTCTGCATTGTTAACAGAATCAACTAATTCTTGTATGTGTATTAATTTTTTGTTTTCTCCCATACCTCAAAGTTTATAGAGTTTAGAGTTTTTTTTTTACAATGATCGATCAAAATATAAATATGCACCCATCAACTAAATATTATGCAATTACATTTATCACACAAAGTGTGATGGGAAGGATAAATATATGTTGCGTGATATATCACTAAAATTTACTTATGAAATTCAGGTTTTGAAAAGACCAAATATTTATGTTATTTGTTTTGAGGCATTAGTGGCTTCATGAGAAACGTGCTTTTTTTTTTTTCTTGGTTTTTTTTTTTTTTTTTTTTTTTGTTTGTTTAAACATGAGATCCATGCTTTCAAACTACCCATATACTTATGATAGTTACCAATTTTTATCTCGTCCAAGGCAGGCATATGATCATCTTCGGCAGAAAACTCTGCAGAAACTGTCTTGAATCTTAGGCCATCTCCAACCGAAGGGTCCAGAGGGTCAGAGGGTCGAAAATAGCCCTAAAACCGTCTCCAACCGAGGGCTAGGCCAGAGGGCTCGGGAATCTAGGAGGGCCCCACGGAATTTCAAAGGGCCAAAGGGCTAGCTGCTTTCGGCCAACCAGCCAACCCGGGCTGGCTATTTTTTTTTATAGTTTTCCTATTGCTGTCGGTTATAACCGACAGCATTAAAGAAGGATTTGAATTTTTTTTTTATAGTTTTACTATTAGTGTCGGTTATAACCGACACTAATAGTTTGAAATATTTTTGAATATAACGGCTAGCTCAGTCAGCTAGCCGTTGGGTTTTTTTTTTTTTTTTTTAATTTTAAACATTTCTTTTCTTCTATAAATATGGTGAAGTTCTTTCAATTCTTCACTTCATTTGCAATATTTCCTTCTTCAATATTTTTCAATATTTCCTTCAATATATTTCTCAATATTTCCTTCAATATATTTTCCAATATTTCCTTCATCTGTAATATTTGTTTCAATTTTTCAATAATTTCCTTCAATATTTTTTCAATAATTTCCTTCATCTATAATATTTGTTTCAATTTTTCAATATTTCCTTCATCTATAATATTTCTTCACTTAATTTGCAATATTTCCTTCATCTATAATATTTGTTTCAATTTTTCAATAATTTCCTTCAATATTTTTTCAATAATTTCCTTCAATATTTCCTTCATTTTTTTCAAAAAAAATGGCCTCATCTGCAATGAAAGGTAGGGCTTGGACCCGAAAAGAAGATGAAACTCTTTGCAAGGCTTATAGATGGGTCTCAAAAGATAGTGTGAGGGGGATTTCTCAAACAAGTGAAGGTGTTTGGACTCGTGTGTCCAAAAAATACTTAGAGTTCTACGAAGGCACCATTCCACCGAATACCCGAAACCACGAAAGTTGTTATTCAAGATGGAAGAAACATCTTCATCCAAGTTTGAATAAATGGCATCAAGCACTATTAGCAGCAGCAAGTAGACATGAAAGTGCGCCAATTACTATGACGAAGTTAGTGTTTTCACAGTTTATTTTAAATGTTTAATTATATTACATTTAATTTTTGTAATTATATGTCATTATATTACATTTAATTTCATGAATTAATTTCCTAAAATTTTTGTAATTATATTTTCTAGGTACGCCAAGCAGAGGAATTGTATATGGAGGTCAGCTCAAAACCCTTTCATTTTCACGGTTGTTGGGACATTTGTAAAGGGTGGGTGTTATTTGAAGATCCACCTCAACATAGAGTGGATCCTTTGGGAGCTGCATCCCCATCTGTAGATATGAATGAAGATGGATCTCCTACCATTCAACAAACAAGGGTAGAAAATCCGACTCCGTCCGAAAGTTCTTTACCTAGGGCTATGGGACGAAACAAGGCCTGAAGGTTGAGGGAAAAGGGCAAGGCAAATGTTGATTACGCCGCTCAATATGAAGTGGCGGCCTCATTGCGATTACTGGCGGAGCAAAATGCCCTTGAGGCGGAAGAAAGGAAGTGTAGACATGAAGAACATGCCAAACAAATACAAGAAGAGATGGATGATAAGAATATGGAAATGAACACTTCGAATTACACTCCAATGAGTAAGGCCTATTTTGATAGGAAAAAAAAGGAAATTATGTCTCGACGGCAATTGTTTACCTCTGACTATACTCCTACAATGGCGGATGATGAAGATGATGTTGATTATGGATATTAAATTTAAGTCGTTGTAATTTTTAAATTTAAGTTAATGTTGTTTTTAAATTTAATTTGTAGTTTTTAAATTTAATTTGTAGTTTTTAAATATAAGTTGTTGTTTTTAAATTTACGTTGTTGTAGTTTTTAAATTTAAATAATAAATTATGTTTGGCCCTCGGTTGGAGACGATTTTTTGTGACAGGGCTAAAACGAACCCTCTGGCCCTCGGTTGGAGACGGATGCAAATATGGTCATGTACTGTTCATTAAAATATTAATATCTTGGGGAATCTTGGAGGGCCAGAGGGCTAAAACGAGCCCTCTGGCCAGCCCTCGGTTAGAGATGACATTAATGACGCGCACCAAGCAACGCGAGGATTGCTTGCACGGAGGGAAGACTTTCACCGGCCACATCCCCTGTATTCTCGTTGGACTGCTTGCCCCCGTGAACCGACATAGTCTGCTGCCACCTAGTCTCCATTGATACATGTAGTTCACAAGTGTAAATATGAACAAGTTTAGTGCCTGAGTATTACCAATTCAAAAAACACACATTTAAGTTCCCCTATTGATCTTAAAAATTGAACTCTGAACATCAAAAGTCATGTAAGATGAAGAGAAAAACTTTGCTGACGTTCTTTTTTGTCACGCTAAAAAAGATACCAATACAATAGGGCATACAACTAGGAAAAAAAAAATAATATATATATATATATATATACAGAGAGCTTAAGGGGAGGGATCCCCATTTTTTCAAAAAAAATGGGGACACGCTCCCCACCGTTAGATTGACTTTAATGAAATTGTGTGGTTGAGATTAAAACACAGGCCATAGAATCTCAACCACAGGATTTCATTTAATTCAAATCTAACGGTGGGGAGCGTGTCCCCATTTTTTTGAAAAAATGGGGATCCCTCCCCTTAAGCAATTCCTATATATATATATCTAAATGTGCATTTTTGGTCAACAATTTATTAACAATTATCACATTACTATGTATTACAATTTATTCACATTCTTTTTCTTCGCTTGTAAGTGAGGTTTTGAATTTGATTCTCGTTCATGGTGAATTTGAACTAAATGGCTAACTCATGCATAAAAAATAAAAATAAAAGATAAGTTGTAAAATACCATAGTTTTGAGGTACTGTTTTTATTTAAGGTAATGCTAGAGAAACTAAATTTGTAGACAATATTTTAAAAATTAAATGATATAAAGTTAATGATTGATTTATTACTTAAACGTTGATAAACGTCTTTTATTTATGAGTAATGCTAGAGAGATCAAAATTTTAAACCAATTTTGCAAACTAAATGATGTGTTACTAACAGAAGATAAGCACATTAATAAACACGTAAATAATATCTAATCATCTTCAATCACGTTATTTAGTTTGAAATTTTGACATATATAGCATTACCCTTCATTTATATTTTCTCTTTTGGCGGGTAAGTCCAAGATCCTAACTGTCATGCAGCAGGAAGCCTCTGTCCACAAAAATTTCCCGGGAAAAAAAATAAATAAAAGGCGAAAATATAAAAAGCCAAAATTACAAATAAAACAAAGAAACCCAGATTCAGTCAGATTCTGAAAAATATTCATTATCAGAACCTTTCCACTTCCTTCACGCCTCTAACCTTGTCACCCCCAAATTCAAAACCCTAATTCCCATTTCCAATTTTGTTGGATCCAATTCTTTCCAATTCGGTCGGAGCCCCGATCCGACAGCCTGAGAAGTACCTGAACAGGAACCAAAAAAAAAATGAGCAATTTGAGAACCACGTGTAGGCCGCACACGGTCTTCACCTCCTTCGTGTATTGCAGATACCAAGCTCGCTTCAGCTCTAGGGTTTCGTTTCGAAACCCTAATTGCAGCCCTCGCTTTCCGCCGGTGTCCGATTTCGCGAGATTGAATTGGGGCGGGTCGTGGTTCCGGGTCAATCAGAGACGGAGCGTGATTCGGGCTTCCAGTTGGGACCACCCTAAATCTCCCTACGAAACTCTTGGTAATTAAATTAAGCTTTACTCTTGGTTTTGTAAATTCTGGAATTTGTAACGTTTTCACTGATTTTGACTTTTTGGTTTTTGAATTTTTGTTTTTGTTTTTTGAAACGCAGAATTAGAGAGGGACGCTGACGATGACCAGATAAAGATTGCTTACAGACGGCTGGCCAAGTTTTATCATCCGGATGGTTTGTTCCCTTGTCTTGTTTCCAAATGCTTTTCCAAGTTTTCGATTTCATGTCTGTGAAATTGTGAATTGCTACTTTGGTAGTGGCGACTGTTATCACAAATTATATGTGTAAACAATTATTGCTTTAATATGGCGAAACACGGCAACCCTTTTGTAAAAGCTTTGTTAATTTCAACTTGAAGAAATCTTTTGCAATTTGTGTGCAACAGAGCTATTGTGCAAAAGGGCCCTATGGCATTGGGAGTTGTTTTTATTCCTAGCAGCCCCGTTTGGTGTGTACTATGTAGAATTGGAATTGGATGACTAGCTAGAGTAAGAAACGAAGGTCGACTGCCAAATTTTGTCGAAGCTGAAGGAGGGATAAGTTTTCTGACTAATCTATGTAATTCATTCAACTTGGACAAAATTTCGAAGTTGCCCTCCATGTCTTCCCTCAATATACCTCGAATCCAATTCTAGGTGGCCTAATTTTCGTGTCAAGTTTTTTAAACTGATAGCAGACGTTGCTTTTCACCTTTCATTGCGTATTAGGTTGCAGCATGTATTGGTTTCTACCTTTAAAAGTTAGATCATCAGTAAATGTGCTCTTGACAATATTTTGTGCTGTTTTCTTTTGTGTATTGTTTTTGCTTGAAAGTTGAAAATTGGAGTTGATCTAGTTTTCTTTCCTTTTTCAAGTTTACGATGGTAGAGGGACTCTAGAGGAGGGGGAAACAGCTGAAGCTAGATTTATTAAGATTCAAGCTGCTTATGAGTTGCTCATGGATGACGAGAAGAGGGGACAATATGATAGGGATAACCGACTCAACCCAATGAAAGTAAGATTTGAAGTTTGCATATAAGTTGCTTTATACTTTCTTGCTTATTGTTTTTAGGATAGATATAGGAAAATGTAGAATAGATTCATGAGTTGCATTAATCAGACCGGCTCATATTTTAGTTGTTTTTTAACGATTTCTTTGTGTGCACAATTGTATCAGGCATCTCAGGCATGGATGGAATGGCTAATTAAAAAGCGAAAAGCTTTTGATCAGCGAGGTGATATGGCAATAGCAGCTTGGCAAGAGCAACAGCAGCGTGAGATGAATATTCGCGCGCGTCGACTTTCTCGTTCCAAGGTATAGAATCATTCTCTTAGTACACGAATCAGCTGTTAAACATAGTTTCTGTAGTTCAGAAATAAAAATGAAAGTTCTCCATTCTACCTGTTTGATAAATACCGCAAGCCCAGCCTTTTCCAGGATGCAAAAAAACATAAACGGGAACCATATTTTCTATTTGTCTCTCATCATTACTGATCAAACACTATTCAGAATCTCGTGCTCGTCTCTATGATCTTATTGTTAGAAACTCGGATAAAGCTATCGTGTCTTTGTTTCGGCTGCATTTCTCTGTAACTGATTTCCTAAGGTCCGATGTATTCGGCATCCAGGTTGACCCAGATGAAGAGAAGAGAATCCTGGCAAGAGAAAAAAAGGCCTCGGCAGAGTATTTCTCCAGTACCCTCAAGCGACACACGCTAGTCTTAAAGAAAAGGGACCTAATGCGAAGGAAAGCAGAGGAAGACAAGAAAAAGCTCATCGGTCAGCTTTTAGCCGCAGAGGGACTTGAGCTCGACACAGAGGATGAAGAAAAACGGTAGAGCAAGACTTACTCTTCGGCTTCTGACATGGTAATTTGTATTACAGAATACACTTTGTAATCGCCACTGAAGACAAATCCGCCCATCCGTCTATTCTACGAGAGAAAATCAATCTGTATATATCTTTCGTTGAAGAAATTTATAGAAATTAACGAGAAATTACCCTGTAATTATATTAGTGCATCCGTTCTCGTGCGCCTTCAAAGGTTCTCAACAGGTTTCTGCATACAGTGCCAATGGCTAGTTCAGATCTGTTTCAACAAACCATTGCTTGAAATAAGAAAGATAATAAGAGCTTGAGCCTTATTAACCAGAACTTTGCAGTTCCTCGAAATAAGGGAGACAATTACTTCTTTATCTCCCCTTAAAAGTTATGCGTGTTACAAGTAATTTGATTGCTTTCAAGAGAAAACTTTGTTTAGAATCTTTTGCTCGAACATAGTACGCGGACATAAAACAGCTACGTTCTTCGTTAAGCATAAGAAAGCTTGGGTGAATCTTGAACATAATGGGAACTGTATGTTGCACTGATCCTCTGCCAGGTGAAATCGATACTCATCATAGATCAGGATTCTCGATATACGCCGAATGTCTTCCCACAATAAGTTCAACTAGTGGACACTCCACATCAACAACACCCGGAGATTGGTTTCGGCGAACTGATATCTTTTCATTACTTCTGACGACTACAACCTCTTCCTTGCGGGTTGAAAGTTCATTCGCTACAACCATATGCACCTTGTACTTCTTAAGAGCCATATCAGCCTTCTCTAAAAGAATCTTTGAATCCGTCTCTAGCTGTTTATGCAAGCATGTCAAAGGTTTTTAGTCCAAAAAAGTAATTCTGCATCACGTAACCTGTAAAACTTTATTAGCTGATAAAAATCAAGTGACAAAGCTAAGGGGTACGGTATTGATGTTAGATACATATGACTGCACCATGCATGTCGAGGAAGATTCTGTGAGACAGAAGACATAATGGACAACTGTCGACGCAAGTCTGATGTCACAGAAGAACAGATTAGAAATCTGTTAAATGAAAAGCCTCCAACAGAAATATCTAAGTGATCTTCAGGTTACCGTTACCCAGCCACATCCACAACCCTCGACAAAAGATCATCATATAGATAGTCTATGGATACAAGTAAAGAAAAGGCAAATTTTCATCCACTAAAGTGCAGCAACGGAACTAACAAATAGTATATTTATGGATAGGATACTAACTAGAAATAAGCAGAAGCTTCAAATCTGACCTTAAATGATATACAGAAGGCCCTTGGCGCCCAGTCTTTCCTCAGCACTAAGAGCATCTTTGGCACCTGAACTAGTCGCATGTCCAATGGACCAGATCCCGACTGAATTTTGTGTTCTGCCTGCACAATCATGCTTTGCTAAGAAAATGGCGCAGCTTATGCTTATTCTTAAATGCGACTTAGACATGATACAAGATTAAAACTTGAAAACGAGTAATCTCCTTATAATAGTTTTTCACTTAAAGAAGGTATTAAACATCCAAGATTCATATGTATTCCCACAAATTTATGGGACTTCGGATCTTACATATGCCTCCAGGACCTTGCAAAGGACTGCTTATGTCATCCGATGCTGGGGATTCATGTACAAGTATTTAAAGAAATGCCAACAATCTTTCAAAGAACATAATCAAGCATTTTCTACACAATTCAAGACTGATGAGGTCAAAACCAAGTTCTCTAGCTATTTTCAGAAGGGATAGCTTTTGTTATCTGTCTATTGAGTTACAGAATGAAGCCAGAGAATGTAGTAAAGGCACTCCATAACTTTTCAAAAAATTCAACCATTACCATGCTTTTCCACGGAACATAAAAGTCAGACACTGCAGCTGCAAGATAAAGAATTGCATGTGGCCCGAGACTTCTTATTGAAAATGCAATCATCTGCAACATCTGCTCAAAATGCAAAGACAGATGTCAAGCATAGGATAATAAATTTTATATTTAGAACAACCAGACACTTAGTGAAACACAATGGAGACAGGCTACAACATTGTGTTTAAGCAGTGAGTTAATAACCAACTGAAGCGAACCTGAAGATACTCGAATATGGTTGTGAAAGGAAGTTTCAACAAGAGGCCTCCTGTTACTGCCTGCAACAAACAATCCCCACATACAACCCATTGTTAGATTGAACTATTAGAGACAGAGAAACGGTCAAAATACAGAATACGTAAAGGAAGTAAAAATATGGAATAAGTGGTCGTACAGCATGAGTTTTAGTGATGGCATTCCTCACTACTTCTGAATGTGACTGGCACACTGGAACAGAAAACAAAATTCAGTTATCTCAACAGGAACCGTCAAAGAATTATACACTATGAAGTCAGATTTGACTTTTGACATCACCACAAAGCTGCTAAAAATAAAACTTCAATAATTCCTGTTTCACATCCCCCCAAAACCCAATCATCAACCACAAAACAAACTCCGATACTTACACTCCACATTCAAATCTTATAAATAGCATAGACATCTAAATATTTTAGTTACTCACAATTGGAAACACCAATGTAGCTGACAAGAAGAAAGTTTGGCATCTCTATTACTAATGCAGATAAACACAGCTCGATTTTCCTCTGATAATTGAGTTCTCTCTTTTCCCTCAAGAACAGCAATCTGAACCAGCTAATGACCCTCAAAAGCTAGAGTCTTCAAGGCTTAATTACTTTAACCTTTTCAGATATAACCTTCCAGCCTGCTTTTGAAGCTGAGTTCAATCAGCTTACTCTATGATACCAGACCAATAACAGACTCTCTTCTTTTGGGTAGCTTCACTCATGTAAGTGTTTTAATGACTTAGCACACGCGCATGTATACCTAGGCATTTTGATCAAGCTACTTGCATCTTATGGAACCTGAACCTGCACGTTGTGGTTCGTTCTAATTCCAATTGTCAAGAATGAACCTATACTCCTCAAAAGCTACGAGCTGTCAAGGAGGGAAAAGCTTATTACTTGCCCTTAAGGATTGTAAGACACTCATTGTTAACTAGGCCATAAATATTACGTATTCGAGTAATGTAATTACATCTCCATTGAAAAATGACTCTGTTTCTATCTCTTACCTTTTCTCAAGGTAGAAGTAATTTATTGCTAATGTACTGGTATTCAAGAAGTTAAGTACCATTCTTGATCCATAAACTAGAGAGAAGGGAACATAAGTTTCTCTTTCGTCATCCATGTGCATTTTTGTTCAACATAGAAAAAGAAAAACACATATAATCAATCTGCAGACAATAACTACAAACCTTTAATATTTGAGTCATCCGTACATTCAAAACTTTCAAGCAAAGGATCATCGGGAAGAGATGTGCAATATGGCTGGCAACTGCCCCTGCATAACATTGTGGATAATCCAAATAGTTTAGTAATAATTCTCTTCTATTGTGTAAAATTGTTGAAATGACTAAATGATATTTAAATGCTAGAATCAGAAGTTACCTTCGGTATAGAAAGATAACAGCATAACCTGCCTTCAAAAAGTACCTGCAATGTTATCAGACAAGTCTAATCCATACGTCCATATTACTAAAGATGGCATATTTATTGATTTGTAAGATGATGTACTCTGTGGATGCTGCTCCTCTGTGACCTGAGCTGAAGTTGTCAATGTAGCGAACACATTGTTGCTCTAGAGGAACCGTAGTGCCACCTGATGTCACACACACGACCCTCCTAACTTCTCCACTTCCTACATCACATTTCAAATGGATCAAAATCCACTTAATCTATCACCCAGGAAAAAAATGACAAATACAATGCGCGACAAATCAAAAGGTAGACATACCGGAAGGTACTGAATTCTTCTTCACAAATTCCTCAAGTTTTCCACTGATATCATCGCTGTCCTTCAAAGGAGGAGCTGAGTCAAAAAATGACTTGATTTCGGCATCCAGGATTTCCTTTTGAACTTCCAACCCATTTGTTAGAGCCATTTGAGATTGCCCTACATCCAATTCCTTGTCAAACCCCGCAAAATATATCTCAATTTTCACATAAACATAATTAATAACCACATATAAGTAGGAAAACGACTAAAAGATCAGATTTTCATCATGGAAGAAATGAAACCCATTATTTCAGATAAATCTTACCACACAAAGTAAAAAACCTCAAGGATCATGAGGTAAAGGTGAATGTAAAATGGGGAACAAATATTCTTCAAATTCCAAAAACCCATATATGTATGCTGGGACACGAAATTCATTACAAATCAGGAAAAATAAATAAACAAATTAGTGATGAAATTCCACAAATATATTTGAATTGAGAAGAAATTCAAAATCCAAATGCAGAGCAATGATCCCAATTGGAAAATTTTCCCAAAAAGAAAAACTACCTGGAGTGAGAGAGCTGAGAGCAGCTGATGAGAATCGAAGTGGGTTTGTCTTTCGATTCGGCGATTCAAACTTCTGGGAAGAATCGAAGGATGAAGCGTTTCGTAGCCCTTGATTCCCGCGAAAATATTATAATCGATGAATATCAACGGCTAAAGACGTGACTGTGAACGGTGAAGTATGAAGATCCCATCAAAGTTTGGCCCCACCGACTCTATTTCGGCAGTCCAACTTGGTAGGCGGCTAAATACAAAGGAGGTCTGCCCTCCTTTTAGGTCAGATCCTCACTTATTTATATGATAATGGTTAAGTCACGATAATATTTTATATTCTTATTACTTTTTATCTTATTATATCTGTAAAAAAATTAATATAAAATGTTAACGTGGTTTAACTATGACCGCACAAAATAAGAGGGAATAAGAAGAGCACCCAAATAGGAGGGCAGACAATCTACCTCCAAGTACAAAAGGAAGTGGGTTGAGGCCAAATTTTTAAACATATTTTTACACCACGTAATTTGACGGTTGATAACTAGGCATTATTTTTTATTATTTAAAAAAAAAATTAACCATCAAGTGTGATGAAAATTAAATAAATATTAAACAAAATCAAAATCACATACAACAACAACAACAAAGCTTTTCTTTTCCATAAAGTGGGGTCGGTTATATAAATCCTAGAACGTCATTGCGTTCGGTTCTGTGTCACATATTCCGTTAGATCCAAGTCATCTAAATCTTTTCTTAGAGTCTCTTCCAAAATCTTCTTAGCTCTTCCTCTACCCTTTTGGTCTTGTCTTTTCTTAGAGTCTCTTTCAAAGTTTTCCTAAAATTTCATCTACCCCTTTGGTCCAGAACCCTTATCATGTGATTGCATCTTCTAACTGGAGCGCCACTAGGCCTTCGTTTCACATGTTCAAATCACCGTAACCGATTTTTTCTCATCTTTCCTACAATTTCAATTACTCCTAGTTTACCTAGGATATCCTTATTCATAATCTTATCATTTCTCGTGTGCCCACACATCTAACGAAGCATTCTCATCTCCACTTCACCTATTTTATATACGTATTGATGCTTCATCGCCCAACATTCCATATCATAAAGCATTGCCGGCCATAAAAAATAAAAATTAAAGTGGGAAGATATTGGTAATTTTCCTAAGTTTGAGTCCTTATTTTAAAAGGAAAACTAATGAAATTAGCTTTAAAACTTTGAAATTTAACGATAAAGACAAAATAAAGGGTAAAGTGAATAGTACCACTATTTATTTTTTAGTATCAAAATATGATTTTTCGTTAGAGTAAACAGTATCAGGAGCTTTTCGTTAAAGTTCCCTATTTTAAAATGAAATGTCTTACTTTGACTATAGTACAAAGGGGGGGGGGGGCGGAGGGCACGGACTGGGCCCAAAACAGGAAGAACTGGACCAAATCCGCTTGAAAATGAAACAAAACGGCCAGGAAGGTTGATACAAATTTGAAATTAAAACCGGACCTATCTTGGCCTGTTTAGACCAGACCCTACTGGTCCTCCGGTCCAGCCTGAATTTTCACATGTTCTCTTCAAACTCTGTATCAAGCAGGAAATACACTAAGCAGGTGAACCTAAAAAATGGAATTTGCAGGTGCAGCGCCAAATCTTTGTTTGGTTCCATGGAATCCAATTCCGGGTGCAATTATTTGAGGTTATAGTTGTAGAAGCGAGCATTGCATTCCAAATCCAATTCCAAATGTGCCCAATTAATACCACAAATCTCAAATTTCCAAATTTCATTGGACTGATCGTGGGAAGCAAATTCATTCACTGGAAATTCTTCCGACGTCGTCGGCGATTGCAAGCGTCGAGCAACCTAAGTCTAAAAAGGGTATGGTCTTCAGTTACTGCCTCAAGCCCTAATAAAATCCGATAGAAATTGAAATTGATTAAATGTTAAGATATGAGAAAGATTAAGGACAACGAAAATTAAGGAGTACCTAAGCGAAATTGGGAGAAAATCAGCGGAAGAATAAGGAATTGTGAAACTTTGTTGATTGGCGGATGAGTTTCAGTTAATGTCTGTGATAGTGTGATTCGATTCGAGTCTTGAGAGAGAGATACTGAGTGACTGAGATGTGGGTTGTGGGAGATTTAATCAACGGTGGAGATTAATTTCCACATATTTGAAAGTGGATACGGTTGGATCGGGAGGCCATTTCTTTAGCAATTTGGACCTCCCCACCCAGTTCTGTTTCAAATTTTAAAAAATTGGACACGTCTTATACCCATCTTGAACCGCTTGAATCCTCCCCATCTGGGGGTCAATGCCTTCGTTTGCTCATCCCAAAGTTTGGTTGTTATATTTTTAAGAATGTATAACTCATAGGGTGCGTTTGTTGCACCGGAATGTCTCGGACTGGACTAGCTGCAGGGACTAAGCTGGATTGACTTAGAGTAGACTAAGCTGTACTAGTTTACTGAAGCGTTTGATGCAGTGTCGGACTAAAAATAAGGATAATAACAAACTATAATATTAAATTTTTTTAATTCATATCTAATAATATTATATTAATTAATTATACCCTTTTATTCTAATACTACTCTCCCTCTCTCTGGAAGCCTCCAGCTTTTTCTCCCTCTTTATCCCACTTGTTCTCTCTGTCCCATGCTTTCCTTCCATCCCCTATTTTTTCCGATTAACTGCCAAATTGTTTTATGCAAAACAAAGAATCAAGCTTGGTTTTTTGGGTTTTGTTCGGTGCAAAATTCGAACTGGAGAGAGCTTTCCAAGTCTATGGATTCAATCGGAGCCGCAAGTGTGTGGAGCGGTGGAACGGGCCTGCAACGATGCCTGGCGAGCTGACCGGCGACGAGTCGGGTTTGTGGAGTCAAGGAAGTGAGAGACGGCGATGGCTTGGATTTCTTGGATCCGTTTCTGTCAAACCCAATATTGTAGATTTGGAGATCCTCTGAGATGGAGAAGAGGGAGGAGGAGAGAAACGAAGCAAGCAACACGGGGTGAAGCCTGAGGCGAAGAACAGAAACGAAGGTGAAGCAAAGAACAGAAACACGACGTGAAGCAAGAATAGAAACGGGACTATGAATCCCCTCGTTTTTGGTGGCTCTCGCTAAGCCCACCTAGCGAAGGATTTAGTCGGCACGTGTTCGGCTTAATCCCATTAAACAAAATCCCAATTTACACCAAACACAGGACTACTAATTCTAACTAAGTAGTCCAGTCCAGTGAAACTTAATCCTGCCAAACAAACGCGCCCATAAGGTAGTAAGATAGCACAAAATTTATTCAAAAACTCAAACGTAAACATCATAAACTAAAATGCCATATAAACTTATACACCTTTATCCACATAAAATATCATCCAACTATAGATTGGAGGGTCTCCAATGACTCTATTTTGTAGTCATCTTCACTTTGAATCACATAGAAGCGATTCTTTTTCCAAGCTGCAAAGGCAACTTATTGATCCTCGTATACCTGATCAACCTTTTTTAGTCCGTTTTAGGAAACCCAATAATTATTCTTACGAAAGGCAACTTATTAGAACAGAAGTGAGATGTTGAAATGTGTGGAATGATCATGAATATAAGTCATATACAACTAATTATATCATGGAAATTGAGAAAAAAGAAAGAATGTGAGAGTTTTTATTTATTTTGACTAAGGTTATAAAAAATGCTAAGAGCTAGTCGGGCGGTCGGCTGGCGCCTAGTCCCTAGGCGGCTAGGCAAGCGCCTAGGCAGCCAAGGCGGCTAGGCAAGCGCCTAGGCAGCCAAGGCAAGCACCTAGGTAGCCTAGGCGGAGTTAGATAAATTTCTTGTATATCTTGTAATTAAGTGTATACTGACACTTACAAAATTATATTTGTATGAAATCCCTGAATAAGATAGTAAAAGAATAATAAAATACATATCTAACAAGTTCCAAAAATCAATAGCATGCTATCAACTGATAGCTTGACCAATCTATGTTTTTTTAATGAGAAAAAAATTAATAGCACTTGAATGGACTGATAACATTTTTACTTTAAGAAAGGTCAAGATGATAGTTGTCCAAACTTGAATGGACAGAAACAAAAATAAATAAATAAATAAATAGTCTAAAAGTGATTACGTGGGTGTGAAAGGAAGAGAGAGAAACTAATTTTCTCTCATCTTCTTCATCTTTGCAAGAACACAGACCAGAAGCATGAAGTCCAGAAAAACCAAAACACATATTAGAAGCATTCATCATCTTTTCTCAAGTTCGAACACAAAAAAATTGAAATTCCCAGACTGCCTAGGCCGCCCAAGGGCCGCTCAGGCCTCCTCGGCACCAGCCTAATCCCTGTCCCGATTTTGCATTAATCCCGGAGTTGGCCACCGCCCAACGCTTAAGCCGATTTTCAGGACATTGATTTTGACAATAAACCAACCAAAAGTAACATAAAAAAATAAATAAAAAAGAAACCGGCATTGGGCATTGAACCCGACGTGAATCGAACACGCAACCTTCTGATCTGGAGTCAGACGCGCTACCATTGCGCCACGGATCCGGTCGTTAACTATCTGCTTTTATATTAATTTATTCCAACTAGAATAATAAGCCCTTGTCCGACGTCGTTTCAGCGATTTCAGTACGCTACTGAAACGGTTTAAAGAGCCTTCCCGCCAGAGCCCAACTGGTTAACAGCTGGAAATCAGCGAGTCGTCTTCTCCAAGAAAACCCATTTCCCCACATTCTTGCAGAGAGAGAGAGAGAGAGAGAGAGAGAGAGAGCAACCAACAATGGCCGCAGACCCATCAAAGCTTCAGACCCAGATCGACATCAAGCCTCCTCCGCTTCCATTCCACACTGAATCAGCTCCCGAAACTCTTCAAGAACCCAAGCTCTCCTTCTTCGCCTCCCGCTACCGTCGCACTCGCCGCCGTCGAGCCGACACATGGCTCATATCTCTCTTCGTGATCCTACACATCGTGGCCTTCACGGCGACTATGGTCGTCAACGACTGCTGGCACAAGTCTCGTGGCGACTGCGCCCTCAAAGCCTTTGGCCGGCTGTCGTTTCAGCCACTCTCCGAGAACCCGCTGCTTGGCCCTTCCGCTTCCACGTGAGTGTGATTCTCTCGTTCTTGATTTCAAGCTTTAATTTTTGTTTGGTTTCAAGAGGAGATGAGTTTTCTTGGCGAAATCTTGTGTGGGTTTGGGTGGGTTCTGTCTGTTTGGATGGTTGCTGAGAAAATGTCGCAAATAATTGTTAGGGTTTCTGAGACCATCCATCTTAATCATTTAATTTTCTGTGTTTCTGGGTGTATCGAGGGTTTAATCGGGTTTCCTCTGTTTGGTTGCTGAGAAAATAAAAAAAGCTTTTATCTTTATGCGTAATATGCTCCGTTATTTTGAAGTTTCATCAAAGGGTTATACCAAATTATTGTAAACTCTTGGAATTTTCTTACATAACGCGTTTGGTTCTTAAGTTTATGATCAATTGAAGGTTTTTGGGCTGCAAAATCGATGTTTTGCTGATTTTGTGGTCTTAGAATTTGGCCTTACCTATCAAATTATTAAAATAGTGATTCTAAAAGCTGTGCTTGAGAAGTGAGAGGCCTCTATGAACTTGTTTGTAGTCTTTGGTAGAGGGCTTCCTATACCCGTTTCAATTCGTAATTGATAGTGGTATTACAGGCTTGATGAAATGGGAGCTCTTCGACGGACCTTTTTGACAGAGAATCGCCAAACATGGCGTCTTTTCACATTTCCATGTCTGCATGCCGGAGCCATCCACCTTGTGATCAACCTTTGCAGTGTCGTTTTTGTTGGAATTCACTTGGAGCAAGAGTTTGGTCCATGTAGATTTTCCTTCACATTTCCATTTGTATACATTATTTTGCAAGATCAATAAGGCTACCTCTTATAATTTTTAGACACTGATATTCCCAATTTGTTTTTCAAACAGTAATGGCAGGGTTAATCTATATACTCTCTGCTTTTGTTGGTACGTTGGTGGCTGCACTCTTTGTTGAGAAACACCCAGCAGTTGGTGCTTCTGGAGCTCTATATGGGTTACTTGGAGCTACACTTGCAGCGCTGATTCAGAACTGGGAAATGTACACCAATAAGGTATCCCACCCTCTGCTTTTCTCATTCAGATTGAGATCTCTTCCTCCTTATCTAATTTAAGCGTGTAATGATTCCTCCTTCATTTTGTTACAGTTCACAGCTCTAGTATCAGTTCTATTTGTCTCCATTGGGAATTTTCTCCTCGGCTTGCTACCTTATGTGGACAACTTTTCGAGCATTGGAGGCTTTATATCAGGGTTCCTACTTGGATCTGTGCTTTTATCCAGTCCTAAGGTCAGAGAACTGGCTCAAGAGAAAGGAGGCCTCCTTGATTATGATCTCAAAAGTTCTATCAAGTTGAGGATGAGGCTGAAGCTGGACAGACCAGTTTATAGGAGTTTGGCTTTTGTTCTCTTTGGTGTTATGTGAGCGGTTCTCCTGTTTATGGAAAATTCTGTTCATTGTTGTTACTTGTCATTTTAAATTTGGCATGAGTTTTATAAGAGGAGCTTTGCCATGTGATCTGCAGGCTGGCTGGATGTCTTGTTGCAGTTCTGCAAGGCATTGACCTGAATCAGTACTGCAGGTGGTGCCGGCATTTTGATTGTATCCCTTTCAAAGGATGGAGCTGCAGGGACATGGAAACTTTTTGTGAGGTATGTATTTATCTGATCCACTCTAGGATTCTAAAATTAGATTAGATGAAAAATAAATTAGCATAAGAAGAGACACTACATTTCAATTTTATGCACTAGTTTCTTTCTTCACAATGCTAATAAGGAGTAAAGCTTGCTGAGAGTGAGAAGCAGTACATATAAAGCTTGCCGTGTAAAGACACTGAGACACTGCATTTCAATTTTATTCACTGGTTTCTGGAGAAGAATCTCGGTCCACTCTAGGATTAATAAGGAGTAAAGCTTGCCGAGAGTGAGAAACGATACATATAAATTTCAGTTACAGTGTTTAATAGTCATTGAGCATCAAATCACCCTGATCAGAAAGCACTACACAGGGGGATTCTTACAGTACAAAATTAATCATCTAAAGAGACTGATAGGGAAAGATCAGAATTCTAATTGCGTAAAAAAAACATGGGAAAATAATGTTTTTGTCTTGTTTGTCAGCTTGGGAAGATAATGGACATTATGAATTCCGTTGGTAACTGATACACTATGCTACATTAGTGCAATGCAGCACATATGATGAGAATAGTGTTAGATGCTAGAACAATTTTCTCGTCAGGATGGATAATTATCCCATACTAATTTTCCGGTTATGTTCACTTGAGTTTCTTACATTTTATGATGGACTAGCTTGCCTGTTTCATTCACATTTTAGCATAATGAGTAGTACCTTAATTATAACTTCTTCCTCCTAGTAACTCACTTCCTGTGCACTCAAGTGGCATTAACATTTTTCCATTTGAAAGTTACTCGTCCTCCTCGTCACTCACTTCAAATGCAGTCAAACGAGTTCTAATTTGAATTCCTTATGATTGACCTTGAATGCTGCAGACCATGGTGAGCAATGAACAGCTGACTTTGACCTGTATGAGCAATGGGAACTTCAGGGTTCTTCCATACACAAATGTCTCTCAAGATCGGGTGAATGACTTGTGCAGTGTGATATGCTCATAGAAATTGTCGGTCTTGGTGACTATTGCAACAGCATGGAGAGAGAGACAAATTCCTAGCATCAATACTGGGTTGATAGCTGCCCGGTTGTATCTACGCAACATTTTTTTTCTTCCTGTTTTTTCCATTGTTTGCATATCCCTCTAATTTTGGAAGTATAGAAGAGAAAGGTCAATGGCCTCTCACTTTTGCAGTGCAAAATTTGCAGAAAAACTGGGTTGGCGTGAGGCATAACATTTTGTATAGATATAATCTCTCGTGGATACATCGGAGTGAAATAACATTTTGTACATGTTCTTGAGCTGATATATGATCATTCAAATCTTATTGTGGAAATTAATGTGCTCTACTAGTTGTTCAACTTGCGATTTTGAAGGTTGTGTTACGACTCTATAAATTACTCAATGCAGACGGAGAATTTTGAATTTAAGCTTTGAAGTTTAACTTGATAAATTGAGTGCTACTACTTTGGATAAATTCAATTGAAAAGCACTGTAAAACTGCATTGGTTTGTTCCCCTGGGGTGACCCAATATATGGACAGAATTGCTCATATTTATGAATTGTTCGGGTCAAATTTAACAAGTAGCGCCCGTGGCCTAATGGATAAGGCATCTGACTTCTAATCAGGCGATTGTGGGTTCGAGTCCCACCGGGCGTGCTCTCTCTCCTATTTTATTTCATTTTATTTTAAATCTGAATATTTCGATGTAAGGCCAAGTGCCCATCAGCAATATTCTCATAAAATGGAAAGGAGAAAACGTTTTCACTTGTCCTTACCAGAGTGGAAGATGGATGAGCTGGGGAGACAGCTTCAACACATAAAAATGGAGCTAGGGTTTTGGAGCTTCAGTGAGAGTAAGAGGCACATCCCTCTTACAAGGGAAAAAAAACAGACGACTACAACGTGAGAAAAAAAATGACTACGCATGAAAGTGTTTCTTTTAATTTTAAATGAAACCATCAATCTGCTCAACTAAGCCCCCATTTATTTCATTTCATCTAAAAAATATTCCCTCTCTCACATCCAATTGAATGCAACTATCTGCTTTCTATACTTTTTTTTTTGTTAATACCAAAGAAGTACATGAAGGAAGAGAATAACTTACATGACGCAAGTACATTGACACAGTAGCGTCACATGACTATAAAATTAAGACATGTACACATGTCATATAAGTCATTCTCTCGTGAAAAAGTTACTGATACGAGAAACATGCATTTAATTCCACAGTACAAAGCTCATCTCATTTATAAACCCAACAACTAACAAGTGTCCTCCTCCTCCTCCTCCTCCGGAGCCAAGGTGGCTGCTGCTGCCGCCGGGAACCAAAACAAAAATCCGACCCACAATTCTTTCTTTTTAATTATTTTTTTGGGCAGAGATGCAACTCCTTTTGCGGCTCTAAGACTATGCAGTTGCCGCCCCTTACAGTTATATTCACAGCCTTTTCACAGTGCTAGCAAGCCGCAATGATTTAAAGGTTTCACCTTTTAGGTTTAGCCACCACAAAGTTTACACCATTCAAGGCAAATGATTTCTGCCGGAGATTCTACACTACCGCGTTGTATTTAATGTTGTGTTAAATAAATGAGTGAAATTTAGAGAAATATATCATATACCTTCATAATCTTCACCCACTTCGTTTATGTTCAACTTAAATTCATAGGATATTATAGCCACATCCTATTTCTACACACCATTTTTCTCTATCTGCACATCTTGTTTATTTTTATCTCTTAGTTCTTTTTTGTTTAATTCAATTATACAGTAAAGAATAAACACGTGTGTATTAATTCCCCAGTATTTTTGGGGTCTAGACCTTTCCCAAATGCAATATGCTTATTGGGTTATAACCCTTTTATCATTTTTGTGTTGCAATTAACCGGATTGGACACCATAGGATTAGGTATCCTCTCTGTGACGATCCTGGGGATCCTCCAATCACATCCGGTCAGTTTTTGTCAGATATTGTTTATTTTCAATTTTAAATAAAAAAATTTACAATGATTTCTGACCGCACGATATGCTATGAATGAATGTGATTAGAGGATTTCCAGGATCCTCACAAAGAAGATCAGGCGAGTATCCTCTTGGAGTAGTGGCAAGTAGGAGAATATATTGCCAAAGCTAGCAATAGAAATATTATTGCGGTTTTTTTTATATTTTATTTTATTTTATTTTTTTAAGAAACGATATTATCTTTACCAAAAGGGTGGGAAAATAGGCTAAGACCATCTCCAAACCTGGGCTAAAAGCCAAATTACCCCCCCCCAAACACTCTCCAACCCATGTTAAAATTTTAGGCTAAATGCCAAATATTATTTCTAGGCCAAATACCCCCCAGTTTTCCTCCCGGGCTAAATGCCAAATGTTTATCGGAATTTAAATTTTTTTAGATTAAAATGTTCATAAAATTAATTTACAATAATCTACATATTTATTTAAAAAAAAAAATTGATTTAAGAAAAAAATTAGCCTAAGTTCATTCTTTAATAATTCCGGGCTAAAATTTTAGGGCAGAAGGGTTGGAACAGAAAAGATGTTTCTGGGCTAAAAGCCAAATTTTCTGGGCTAAAACATTTGGCTTTTAGCCCAAGGGTTGGAGATGGTCTAAGCCTCACAATAGACTACTAATAATGTAATTCAAATTCGTTTTTGATAAGAATCGAACCTAAGACATCTCACTTACAAGTAAAAAGAAATATCACTAAACTGTACTCCATAATACTAAATATTATTGCAGCTTTTGTATTAACTATTTGGAATGAAAACTTTAAAGTTTTCATATCATATTACATAATTTTTCTTCTATGTTATGTAACATTGAGTGATCATAAAATTAAAGTTAAATTTTGCATATAGGAAATTTAATAAATTTTTACAACGTTTAAATCTTGTATAAAGCCTGTACATGTACCATTGTAGCCCGAACCCAAATTTTGGCTCAAAGTTAAAGTTCTACCAAGTGACTTTAGAATACATTACAAAATCATCCAAAATAACAGCGGATATTAGACCATTCCATTTGTACGTATCTATCTCCAAAAGCTCCATCTAAATTCATCCATAAGTAGCCCACAAAAGAAGTTAAACAAAGCATGCAGTGGTATAATGCCTGTGGGCGGCCTTAAAGCACACAAAGGCTACAAAGTTACCACTCCTCTCTCTCTCTCTCTATTTGTGTGATCGATTGCCAGCTAATCTTTGCCAATAATGATTTTAAAGAGAGAAATTCGTTTGAAAAGTAAAATTTGAAAGATACTTTGACTAAGGAAACATGTTTTTAGGTGCCTATATTGCACACATAACACATGACATTTGAATGAAAAGTAACATCGATTACAAATTCTAAGAAGCTTACTTAATATTGCATTGTTCCAACCTCATGTTTGGTTCCTCCTGAATCTAGAAACATAAAGCATCGCCAGCATTTGTCATCTAAACAAAGTCTATATATGCACAGATAGTCTAAGGACCCAGAGAACTGAATTCAACTTAATAGGATTTGAGGGAGATCTTAAAATTGTTCTCCTCCAGTGTGGCTCACTGACTCACATTGTTGATCACATCTTTCACAGTGTGAGTGTATGATTGGACCACCACTGGGGGCAACAAAGACATATGAGGCCAATAATGGATATTGAGTTATAACACATGTCCAACCAACTTCATTCTGCCTGTGAAAATATCCAGAGACACACAAAACACTAGTAGTACGCAACTATCAAGTTAAACAACAAGAAGGTCCAAAAAAATTAAATTGCCAGAAAATAAAACCACCATGTATATTAAGCTAACAATCACTATTAAAACCGAGTCTCATCCTCATAAGAAACATGATAGAAGGGGTGGTTAGTAAATTTACCACATTTCCCATGATCAATTACTTTCAAATGCAAAAATCGTCATGGGGACTCAATATTGCAATAGTACAATGAGTTGGCTAGCTAAGGCACTCATTGAATGGCCAGATCTGTCAAAGTCTTATGTGCTTGGCATCTCTACAAGTGTAATGCTAATTTACCATTGAGAGGTTTCGACCATTGAATTGGCACCACGTCGCATGCAGCTCCCACTCATGCACATCGTGATATAGTAATAGAACCCTTCACGGAATCGCTTGTTCTATACGAAAATAATGCATATATACTACGGAAACTAGGGTTTTCAAGGCAGAGACTTTTTTAGGTCACTCTAGTTATAAATGTAAAGCCTATATAAAGCACTATATAAAAATATTGCTTTAGGAAAGTCGATGGTTTTCAAACTTTCACCTTGGCTGCAAAATAATATAAGGCTCGTCCTCCTTTTAGGGTATGGAAAGAGAGAGAGACATGTGTTTGAAAGGAACCCTATAGTGCGAGGGAATCCTGAAGTAGGTTCTGCCTAGTTTGATGCCAAAAAGTAAAGAAAGATTTATGGCTAACTAATAGCCTTGTAAACATGTTACTTAGTACTACGGTCTAATGATTTTTTTTTCACTTATAAATGATTGAGGTCTTAGGTTTGATTTTTGCGAAAAACAAATTTGAACTACATTATTGTTAGCTCAATGTGAAGCTTACCTAGTCTCCCACCTCTTTAACCCTTGGGCTAAAACCTAAGATTTTTAATCTAGAAACAGTTTTTCTCTTCCAACCCTTATGAGTTAAATTTTGGGCCCAAGATTATTAAATAATGAATTTAGGATAATTTTTTTCTTAAATTAACTTTTAAAAAAAACCAAAAATATGTAGACTATCCTAATTTAATTTATGAACATTTTAACCTAAAAATATTTAGATTCCGATAAATATTGAAAAATCACCAAACCGACACCATGAAACTCGTGGAACACTACAAAAGAATATGAAATACATAAAATAATTTTTTTTATTACTTTAGCCGTTTGATTTAAATTTGGACAATAAGATATTTTTTTTACCGTTGGATTTGATCAAATTAGATCTTAACTGTTAGATTCAATAAATTTATAAATATAAAACTAAAAAAAATATACATATATGGGGGGCTAACTCCACTAACATAGGGGGGAATTCTGGGCTAAATTTGTCCTAGAAATGAGTTTTGAGTTTTAACTCATATTTGCCCCAAGGGTTAGAGCAACTTGGGTTAAGTTTAGAACTTAAAATTTGAGTTTTACTCTAAGGATTGGAGTAGTTATTAGTGTAAATAATGGCATTTGTTAAAAAAAAAAAAAAAAAACTTGTAAACCTCTAGTCAAAAAAGGGTTGATGGGTTTTTAATATTCTATAAATCCAAAGTGAGAAGAAGGGGGGTTTGGATTTTATTTTAGGCTCTTTACTTGGCCCCTTTCTTCAATATCTATCATCATTTTGAAGAATCCTACTAGTTTATTTCCATAAAAAGGATAACTA